ATGCAGTTCAGGCCAGGCTTGAACTCACCACGTAGCCCACGGTGGTCTCAAACTCATGGCAATCCTCTTGCCTCAGCCTCCCGAATGCTAAGACTACAGGTGTGTGCCACACACCTGGCTTCTCCTTTTTATTCTTTAGTTATATTATACTTTTGATTTCTCGATAAGAGAAATAATGTGATACTTAAACTTGTGTGTCTGATTTATTTAACTCAAGATTATGGTCTTGAGATGTATCCATTTACCTGAAAATGCCTCAAATTTATCTTTATGGCAGAGTGGTACTCCCTTGTATATATATATATATGTATACCATATTTTCTTTATCCATCCATCAGTTGATGGGCACATGGGCTGTTTCCAAGATTTAGCTATTATAAATTGTGCTGCTATAAACATGAATATTTGAGTATCACTGGGGTATGATGACTTTAACTGTCTCAGGAAGATACCTAGAAGGTGAATAGCTGGGTCAAATGGAACATCCAGTTTTATTTCTTGAGGACTCTCCATATTAACTCTTAAATACGCTCATTGTGCACCGAGTGTGCATCAAGTACTTTTACACTGAACATTAACCCACCCCGAACTGTAAGCTGCACACGGTCCTCTGCATATTAACCCAGCGTTGCCCATTAATACACACTGCATTTTGGGTAGTTAACCGATTACTGTGTGGAAAACTCCAAAAAGAGACAAATACGTGAACATCTCAGTTTTCTCCTAGGGGCTCCTTGATAAAGGTTTTCTTTATCAAGCCCAAGTGTCTCGTTTATTTTCCTGGGCAGAGCTCTCTGATGGGAGGCTCCTGATCTCCTCGACTTCCTGTGGGCGGCAGGAAACAGACTCTCCCACCCAAACAAGTGTCGGGTTGTCAAATGAAACAGGCAGTAAAAGTTGAAAAACCCTGGACCTGAAAAAAAAAATCACTACAAAGAAAGGAGGAAAAGGAAAAGACACAAAAAGGAGACAACGAGAGGAAATTCTTGCCTGGCAGTTAAGGGTTTAACAAAAAACAAACAAAAAAAAGTCCCCAGCTGCCAGAGTGGGGGCCACACACTTCCCTAGAGCTCTGGGCTCTGTTGCCTACCAGTGACAGACAACTCCTGTGACTTCTCTGTGAAATGTGAAGATGTCACTATCAATCTAAAGAAGCTAAAAACATTAAACAAGAAAAGGAACAACAGTAAAAACCCACCATCAACATCAGGAGAAAACAATGGCCTCAAGGAAGCCATTAGCTGAGTCCTTTGCAGTCACTCTCCCACATCCATGCCACACCTGTGACCTCAGCAGGAGCTCCCTACCTGCCTGGACACCTGGAGGGTGAGGCGAGCACCGACGAAGGGTATGATCTGTGCTTAATAAAGACCAACCGTAGAAGCAGCACAGGGAAATACACTCCACCCTGGGACCACCAAGAAAGGCATCCATAGAGAATCCAAAAACTACAAAAGTCGCTCTTTGTCAAGAAATGGCCTCAGAGAGTGGGTGAGGGGAAGGTGCTGGCTCAGGTCAGGAAATAAGCAGATTAAAGGCAAAGACCTACACAGAAGTGCTTCACCGAAGCTGATAAAGTTGCTTCCCAGAGAGGGATGTGTTAATCCTGAAGCCACTGTCCCTGTACAACAGATATCAGGTGGTGGGAGCCCTGCTTCACCACTGGAGTGGGGGGTGGCAGGTATGTGGGAGACATTGCTGATGAACCATGTGGTAGTGAATTAGAGCTGGAGACAACTGACATGGGATGAAATATGGAAATGTGCGTGCGTGCGTGTGTGTGTGTGTGTGTGTGTACATGTGGTAGCACACACACGCCCTCCCCTGCTCTTTCAGTTGATATGGCTGATAGCAGCAGCTCCCCAGTAGCAGAGACCAATGTGGCACCCAGATCTTGGTTTCCCATGCCAATAAATTCTCCATAAAAGGAGCTAGGACCCCCTGAAGAAGTGGCTGATTCTAAGACAAGGGAAAGAAATATAAAAGGTGAATCCAGAACATCTCCTAGTGTTTGCCACTGGGCTAAGCACTCTGTAACCAAAGGACGCACACCATGTTCCCAGGCCACGCCCTCCAGCCCCACTGCTAACAACAGCTGTACTTTCACATTCCTGTGATATTTGTCTCCCCCACCAGCCTGCTGGATCCATCAGAGCAGAGACTACATTGGCCTTTGCCCATCTTTTCACCCCCAGTACTCCACAGCATGACTGGCATAATTCAACGTTTAGGAATTGGGTAAATGAATGAGAAGCTTCTTCCCAGTCATCAGAAACTCCCAGGAAGACACAAAGACATTTCAGTGCTGAGTGACCAGTACGGTGCTTGACCCTGGAGAGTAAGTCGGTGTCTGGCGCTAGTATTAAACAAATTAATTAGTCATATTTCATTAATAGCATAGTGATAAATACCAGCCATTCACCAAGTGCCAAGCACCAGGCTAAACACTACATTGTTTTTTTTTGTTTCCTGGTACCCGGGTTTGAACTCAGGACCCTGTGCTTGCCAGGCAGGCACAGTTCCACTAAGCTACACCCCCAGCCCTAAACACTACATTATTCAACAACTAGCAAGGCATTGCTCACCACCAGCTGGCAGGTGAGCTAAACTGAGGCTCAGAGGGCTTAAATCACTGGCAAGGTCATACAGAGAGCTGTTCAGAGCCCGAAGTCATGCACACTCTCTGACCCCAAAGCCTATCCTCTTTGTGACTCCAGAGCTCAGCTCCCTGACAGGGGAGACAGACGTTGGTTGGGGTCTGGGATTCCAACCAACATTTATGAATCCATGAAAGATGCACCCCACCTCCAAACCATCAAGTCGAAGCCAGACAACGGGCTCATCTGGACTGTGGGTTGGGCTCCCCTTGTAGAGAATTATAGTGAAAGGGGCCAAAGACGTGGCTGCCAGGAAGTCAGCTAGCTAGCAAGGTCTGCATGCCCAGAGGAGACACATTCATGGGGGCCTTCAGAGAGCTGCTGCCGATCAGGGACCTTCTTGAGCATCTCAGCTGTAAACGAGAAGGAAAGAGGACGCTGTAGGCCCACACTGTGAAAAGGTCCCCCAAAAGCAGAGGTAGCGGGGTCACAGGAGGATGCTGGCTTAGCATCTGAGGAAGGGCAGAGTGCGAAGGGCTGTGCAAGAGTCCTAAGGAGAAGACGGCGATGATCCTGATCACCATGGGGAGAAGCATCAAGACTCGGAGCAGTCACCCCTACGACTCTGACCCAGAAGGAGGGGACGTGGGCTGGTGGGCAGCCCTCCCCCCGTGGGGCTCCCTGCGTGTTCCTCTGAGGCTGTGTGCTTGGAACTTCTGGAATGGCTGGGGCAGTTGGTGCTTATTCCAGAGGATCTGCTGTGCTGAATGTTGATCTGTCATCTCCAGGGATCACAGTCATTTCAGTGAACCTATGAACAATGTACAGAGCCTTAAAAAAAAAAATGAACGGACTCTGTCTGTGCTGCATTCACTCTGTAATTACATTGTTGGCTTCAGGGCCAAGTTCAGGAACCTAGGTTCTCCGCATTAAGCCTCATTCGCTTAGACTGGGTCATCCTTCTGGTCTTTGAATGTGTTTGGCTTCTGTGTGCTCATAAAATGCATCTGGGATTCTGTAGTTAAAGGCTCAACCTTTAGGGTGAGAGAGACAAGGAGTAATCTCATTCTGCCACTTACTGTTGTGTGGCCTGGGGCAGAGGCGCAGTGGAGAACTTCCCTGGGCATTTGAGGGAGCAGCTGAACTGCATCTCAGGATCCACAGCAAGAGCAGCAGCCCTGAGAAGTCGGAATTGAGGATGTGGGAACAGAGCATCTTCTCCTGTTGTCCGTGCTCCTCTCTGAACGTCGAAATACAGATATTTCTCCTCTAACAACCTAACTGGTTAATGGCTATTTGGATTTATGACCAAGGTTCCTTTTTTTTTTTGGTACAGTTCTGTACATCTTGTGTATAGAGCCTCAGTACCTTTTTTCTTATACAGCGTGCTTTCTTTATACACGACTGTAATTTCTGCTGATTGCACAGCACAGGACTGTAGTTTCATGTTCTGTTATACGTTACAGTACTGCACAGAAGAGTAACATAAATAAAAGCAAAGCATCAAGTTGGGGTTCCTTTGCACCATTCTTTGTCCTGAATACTGTAACGTGCATGCTGTATACAAGCCCTCGTTTAGTGACCAACTCACTCAACAACCTGGTCACAGGAACCGAACTCAGTTGTTGAATGAGGAACGTCAGGGCTTTTTGGTTTTGTTTTCCCCTTCTGGAGGGTGACTGTCCCCCACTACCTGTCAGAACCAGGACCCTAGGAAGTGTCCACAGCCGCCTCCTGGAGCCTGTGAATACATCACCTTGCACAGCAGAGAGGTGTGATTACATTAGAGGTAGCCGGGATTATCCAGGTAGGCCCAGTGTAATCGCTGGCCTCCTTACAAGGGGAAGAGGAAACAGGAGGGTTGGAGTCAGAGCAGATGGCAGCATGGAGTTCGGTCAGGGAGAAGACGCTGGGCTGTGGCTTTGGAGGCGAGGGAGTGGCAGAGAGCTAGGAACTGTGGGTGGGCTCTCAGTGCTGAGAAAGGCAAGAGACCGGATTTCCCCAGAAGCCTGTGAGTACAGCCCCACTGCTCCCTTGTCTGTCTCTATTCGAGGCACTGAGTTGCGGATGCCTCCTTCCTTGAAGTCCTGCCATCGCCTGTCCCTCTTGTAGTGTGAGCTCCCAGCCGTCTCCGGTTTGGAGGCAGAGCAGCTTGTCTCTGCCTTCCCACCTCCTCCACTGCTGACTCCCGCGGTGGCCAACACGGAGCTCCATGGAGTGAGTCCTCGGTAACTGTCCCAGGAGCCACAGGCCCCGAGGAAGCCTCCCCAAACCAGCTGTGTGGTCCGGTGCGAGACCCCTGACACAGGGTGATGGGGCGGCTGTCCTGGGTCTCTGAGGTTCAGCTGTCACCCTCATTGTATCCTCCCTGAGTATCGGAGGGCGGGTTCAGAAAGACCACGGAAACACAGGTTTGGAACTTTGGAACTTTCTATCACAGCTGAGAAGTGGCCTCCTCATTTGTGAGCTCACTGAACCCCGTGATGGCCCTGCGCAGTGTGTAGCCCAGCCCTTCTTCCGTATGTTTGGCTACCCACAGGCTCACGGGCCAAGTCATGTCACAGCCTCTCCCTGCTGACGGGTGGCCAGGCAGCAAGGGCTCAGATTAAGAATAGGTGAGCAGGGGTACAGAAAAGGGCATGGCGTGGACAACAAGATAAACTCACACCAAATATAAATACCAGAAGGGCTGTCGTGTGAAAAGGAGGTTAAACCTGCCCTGTGTGGCACCAAAGGTTAGAACGGGACAATGAGTAAATGTGTGTTCTAATTCAATCTCAGGAAAGCAGACAGCTTTCTCACAGCGATGCCGAAAGATAAAAACAGGCCGTGTCCAGCGACGGTGCCTCCCCATCCAGGCCAGAGAGCTAACAAGTGCGGCACCACTCACAGGTGGGCTTGGGAAGGGACTCATGTCAGCCCCTCAAAAACCAGATTCCTTCTGGATCTGAGACTCAGCGACCCTGTGGCGCATTTCCTGGGTGGCGATCATCCCTTTACTCAGACAGAACGCAAGACAATCAAAGATATGAGGAACAGTGCTGAAGGGGTTGAAGAAGCAGAACCACAGACAGAGCTCACTGCAGATCTTATCCTGGGTGCTTTATCTCTGCACGAAGCCGAGCTGAGGATGAAAGTCTCTTTGGGAAGCCTCTCCTGCCCACGGCCGGGGTGAAGGCGCCCCCACCCTGCCCAGCTCTGTGGATCGTCATCAGGGCCAGAAATAAGTGAGAATCTTGACAGTTACTTCAGCACCCACCTCATCCCAACCCAAATCCTCAAACCTTCATCGGCTGCCTGCCGGCTCAGTACCCCTCGCCTAACCCAAAGGAAACCTGGGAACCTCACAAAAAAAGATGCGCTCGGCAGCAGGAGTTTGAACACCTCTTCTGCAATGCACAGAAAAAAGAGCACCTTGGTGAATTTTCCTTGGTTTAGAATAATCTAAGCTTCCGGGGCTTGGAAAAAGGTGGGAGGCAGCAGGAAGACTCAGTTGGGTGTTGCAAGCTCCACACAGCAGCCGAGCCATTGCCACCGAGACTTGCTTTTAGAAAAGAGAATGAAGAAAGCTAGGGGGACCAAGAGCACACTACAGAAACGCTGACAGCGCTGAGCTGTTAGGTTCCCGAGGACGAAGACAGCCAGGCCTGGTCCTCTGGGGGTAACGAGAGAGCACGGGGATGAAAGCTGAGCCAGATGGACCGTCAGGGACTTCGACCTGAAGGGCATAAGCGCATTCTCCGCGCCAGGAGACCGATGCACGGCTTGGGTCAGCAGTGCCTCTGCCCCTGGACAGGGTCCTCTGCTGATACTCTTCACAAACACTTCAGGGATTTCGTTTTGTTTTATTTTGCCTTGTATTTTGAGACAGGACTGTGCTAATCTGGGCAGGCCTGGAATTCACTGTGTAGCCCAGGCTGGCCTCAAACTCCCAGCGATCCTCCTGCCTCAGCTTCCCACGTGCTAGGATCACAGGCGTGGGCTGCCGTGCCTAGCTAATAATTCTTTGATATTGAGAAAATATTGTCAACGTCACCATCCAACATGGTTCAGATTTGACAAATTTTAGTAAAATCCTTCAAAAGGTGTGGTTTTAAAAAAAAAAAACCCAACTTGGTCTTTAGGGTACAGTAGTAGCTGTGTTCTCTAACCTATCATAGTTTATTTTCAGACTCATGCTAAAATACAAATACCACATATCTGTTACCTTGTCACTCGCAGGCAAATCTGATTTTCCCCAAGGACTCTAAAAAGACATGAACACGATAAACTCCTCTTATTTTAAAAAGCCCAGGCATGGTGGTGCTTTCCTGTAATCTCAGTACTTGGGAGCCTGAGGCAGGAGAATCACCAGGAATTCAAGGCCAGCCTGGGCCGCAGAGTAAGAATTGGTGTCAAAAAATTAAAAAACTGAAAATTTTAAAGGATCGCATTTTACCTTTTTAGCAAAAGGGAAAAGAAGCTGGAGGAGCACACGCACAACTCAGTTAATGCCGTGAAGAAGACCTTCACACACCATGATAAAATCAGGGCAGGGGCTTAGCACTTTAAAAAAACAGTTCGCTGTGTTCTCTTGCAGTTCTACTATGTCATGGTGTCTTGTACAGGATTTAGCAAATAATACAGCCTCAGATTTATGTGGGCTGGATTTAGTTTTTCTCTCCCTCTCAGAGGTTATTTCTGAGCCTCTCCACCCACACATACACCAATGTGGGTGCCACACAGAAGGGACAGTAATGCAGGTCTAGGAAGAGCGGAGGTGACATCAGGGCTTCCTGACCTCCCGCCCTCCATCTACCAGCCTAACCGTGGCCCCTCCCTCATTCAGGTCAGAAGCAGAAAGCCAGGAAGAGGAAATAAACCCCTCAGGGAGAGGACCACAGCTTGCAGAGCAACCCCGAGTCAGGTGCTGCTCTGTGACCCTCTCCTGGGTCCCCGTGGAATCTCCTCAGCAACCTCGCAAGATGAGAAAACTGAGACTGGAGCTGAAGAAACTTGGACGAGGCTTCAAGACTGACCGAGGACAGCACGGGTCCTGAAGGGGTCCTGGCCCTCCACAGCCCTCCCTTGTCCACTTGAGGGACCCAGCTCCCTCCTCAGCACCACCAGCCCTGTCTGGAAGCGCTGAGTCCCAGAAACATGCTGTCCTGAAAAAACACACGCTGGGCCCAGTCCTGGGCCTTGAACCCTGGTGAGTGGAAAGAATCCGCCAGGTGCCTGGCCTGAAAAGGCAAGGTCCTGAGAGACCTCACCCAGCAAAGGCGCTCTGCAGGCAACTTCCTGTCCACAGCTCCCTGCTGGAAGCTGGGTCTCTCCAACCAAATGTGGTTTTGATTGGACCTGTTTCTCTACATTTTTCTCCTAAGAAAAATAACTCCCTGGTTAGACTCAGAACCGCACAACCACACCTACCTGATTTACTAGCTTCCAATTGGTTTTAAAGCCTCACTGGTCCCCTGAGCCCGCTTGACAATTCCCTAAAACTCCTCAGTCACCCCTCTCAGTGAGCCGGGTGCCCAAGCCCTTCCTCCCTCTTGCACCACACTAGCAGTGACCCCTTCTTATTGATTCTGCCCCCTAGATTCCCGGCTTCTCACCCCTTGCCTGCACCCGCATTGTGACCCTTCAGAGATTCCTCGTGATCTTCCAAATGTGCCTATGACATTTGTACTTCAGCTTAGCACTCACTCTCTGGAGCATTCCTGTCCTCCAATTAAATAAAAAAAAAAAAAACATACAAGCACCTGGCATGGTACCCGAGGCCTGACGATCCTCGCGACGCTGGGCTCCCTGGGCACCGTGCCCCCACTCGTGGGTCTCCCACGCACCGCCCTCTCTTGATTCCCGAGCCTGCCTAGCCAGCCCTGCTCTTCTCAGGCAGGACTCCCCGACTCTCCCCTGGCCAGATTCCAAAGCTTGGGTCCCCGGCACACGCTGAGATCTGCCTTCTGCTGGTCGGCTTCTGCAGGAGACCTCTTCCATCCCTGTACTGTTGAGGTCCCAGCAAGGGCACGGGGACCAGGGAATGAAGCCACGGGGCCATCTTAAAAGCGTGGGTCCTGGTAACAAAGGACACTGCGAAGGCCTCTGGCAATTCTCACACTGACAGAGAAGCAGGCTGACATGCAGGCGCAGCCCAGACCTTGCTTCCGCACTCCCGAGGGTCCCCAGGGCAGGGCTGAGCTGGGCACACTTGGAGTAAAGGGATAAGGGATGAGGGTCTCTACCAGAGGAAATGATTTCAGTTTCAGAGTCAGAGTCAGCCAGGGGTTGACGGCCCAGGGAGACCTAACTGTTTCCTTTCAGCAAAATGAACACAACAGGGTGTGGCTTTCTGAAACGAAGACTGCTCTCTTCCGGAACATCCCACAGCTATAGGACTTCAGAGGACTTACTGGGTCACTCCACCCACCCTCATCTCCAAGTCCTCCAAAGACAATGAACAGAATGCTTTCTTCAGCGCTTTCAGACCTGAAACAAACTATCAAGACCTTGCGCTTATGAGGCAGGCGCAGTGCCACTGAGCTAAATCTCCAGCCCTCAAATTTAAACTTTCTAAGTATTAAGAGAAAGGATTTAGGTTTAGGGCAGCAGTAAGACTAAATGTTATTCTAATGAAATTCCTGGTAAGAAATCTCATCTACCCTAGGCCTATCCTTCACAATTATCTCTTCAAACATTTGTAAAAATAGAAGCAATCCAGAAAGCAAAGCAGGTGAGAAGTCTCTTTTCTCATCATATTTGCTAAAAATAAAAGAAAAAGACCACACATCAGGTTGCCATATGTTACAGCGAGAGCCAGCTCATAGTTCTCCCTGCCCTGAAGAGGTGGAGAGCGACTCAGGAAGCCCAGCTCCTGAGCTCGGTGACCAACTGGACTTCCGTCCGCAGCAAACAGATGATTCAACAGCTACCAGTTTTACTCCAACAGAAAGAAAATTCACAAGGCAGCCCTGCCTTCCACAGGGCCTGTGAACATATCAGCAATAAACCGACAGTCACAAATTTAAATTACTACCCCCTAACACTGTAAGCTCTTAGTTACTATTTCATAAGCACCCAATATTTTAATAAGTGAATGTGAAAACCTCTTTCGGTTTTTCAGAATGCATTCAGAGCCCAGCACTACAAGCTCTCTGAGACGTCAGTGCAATCAATGCACTAGTAATTTTTTGGATTTGCGAGTCTGTTGTGATTTTGGTTACGACACCACCAACATGTCTGCCATTTTTGAACACAGTTTTGAAGTGAAGAGCCAAGCAAGAGTCTGGCTTCACCCCAAGCCTCAGTTTCCCCATCAGGAACATCCTGCTCTCCCTCCACCATGCAGTGGCTGCAAGAAGAAACCCCAGGTCTCCACGCACCATCGGGTGGCTGCAAAGCCACGCTCAGCCACCCGCCCCCTCCTTCTCGGGGAGCACTCTGTCCCCTCTCCATCACTGTGCTGTGTCCCCAGGAGACACGAAGCCCCACACCCCATGCCTGAACACCCTCCCTGCCCTGTTCCCTCTCCCCATCCCCCCACCCTAGCCAAAATTTGTGCAGGCAGCTTCTTATCCTTATCGGAGAAAGCTCCTGCCTACCCCTACAGAAGGCCTTTCCGGTGCCCTCAGAGTCCACCTTATCTCGCCACACTGTCCCTCCCAGCAGTCAGCTCCTGATGGGCCTTTATCTGCTGTGTTTATCGGCATCTCCGCCCACAGGATATAAGCTGTTAGGAGCCGGTTCTGGCTTTGCAGACACCCTGTGATCTTTCTGCATCTTCTTAGGGTCCTAGAGACAGGGACAGAGCAGGGAAATAGGAGAGCACAGGGCATGCAGGAGGGTCCCATTCATGAGCAGCCTTCTAGGGTCCCAGCCCCCCCACTTCCAGAGCTCAAAAGGAAGACGCTGGAAGAGAGAGTCTTACCTGAGGGCAGGAAACCAAATGCCTCGCTCAGAAAACAAAAGCAGCCCCTAAAGGTGGCCCAGAGTCAACACGAGGGATGAGAGACACAGCCAGGGGCGAGAAGGGAAAGTGCCCGGCAATCAGGCTGTGTTACTGTCTGTAATGGGGGAATGGGCTGGGAAAGGGAAGGAGGAGGCTTCATTTTGATGCCTCATTGCACACAGCACTTTACAGTTTAGAAAGAACCAGTACAAATGTGACTGTGTTGGTTCTCATAAAAAGATCGTGAGAGAGCCAGGTGTGGCACACACCTGCAATCCTGGCACCTGGGAGGCTGAGACAGGAGCATCACCATGAGTTTAAGGCCAGCCTGGACTACATAGCCTGTCTCAAAAAACAAAACAAAAAAAAAGGTGAGATAGTCAATCTAGTGACTAGCACCTCCTTTTATAGGTAGGAAATTGAGTCTGAAAAAGAAAAGTGATTTCTTGCCCTGATCACACAGGAAGCAAGCAACAGGGTTGAACCTCCGGGTCCAACCTCAGGGTCCAGTGGCTACAAGCACACCCTGCCTTTTGACCAACTTCAAACAAGCTTAATTCCCAAGTGCTCTCTAGCTGCAGTTAGCAAGACTTTATTCACGTTGTCCAACGTCTTTTACAAGCAGGCTGCCCTTCCTGGCCTCTCTGCCTGGAAGAGATGCGCTATTCTCTAAGCCTTCCTGGGGTGCTCACTAGCTGGAGTGCCCTGCTAGTGGAGGGAAAAGTTACACCCACGTCTTTAAAATAAGTTTCCTCCTCGGCTCAAAAAAGCACAGCCAGGTGGCCACCACAGAACTGGACAAAACTGTGGCTGGAAGCATTTTTTAATTTGAAAATGTACCCTTTGCAAAACCAACTCCTGTAAGGGCCTGGATTTTTCAGTAACCTCCTTCAAAATGTTATTCCCACAGCTTTTCATGGAAAGCTGGGTTGCAGAAAATCCCAAAAAGTCCCTGCATTCTTCAACTTGAAAACACCCTGCATGCTGCTGAAGAAACAAAAGCCCTTAGCGCTCATAAATCCAGGAAGATGATGGGCCAGGGATTTAGCTCAATGTCACCATACCTGCCTTGCAAAGTGCAAGGTCCTGAGTAGCTCAGAGGCACTGTGACTGCCTGGCAAGCAGAAGATCCTAAATTCAATCCTGGATACTGGGAAAAAAGGTCCAGGAAGATGCTGCAAGGGGGTGCAAAATCTAGGAAGGGGAGAGTGCTTTCTGTGGTGTCTCAGGAGAGCCTAGCTGGGCCCTTCCAAACTCAGCAGGGAGAGAGGTGGCAAGAGCTCAGCTGCTTTCCCGGAACTGCTGTGGGCACCCAGGACTTGGGACTTCGGGGCACAGTAGTCAGAACAAGCTCCGGGGAGAGGCTGAGAGGGATGGGAGGCTTCCAGCAGACTCAATCACCACCTCCAGCAGGCAGCCGAGGCTGACCACAGAGCAATGGCCTGGCCTGGGCAAGGCATGGTGGCGTTGGCAGGGGACACGGAGGTCACTGGTCCCTGAGGCTGTGACTGTGTCTCCCACAAAGGGACCTCTCCAGCTGTGGCCACTCCCGAATGTTTCTGTCCTTCTGCACAACGTCACCCCAGTCTATCTGGATGGAGCATCTGCCAGCCTGGCTCGAGCCACCCAGATGCTGCCTTTCAAGAACTGCATATTTCTCTAATTATTTCCAGGAGAACCAAATATTCTAGAGCCACTGGATTCACTGTGGAGTTGGCTTTTTCCCACAGATGGCTGTGGCTCGGCCTCCACCCGTGGGTCCCAGGGGTGCACAGTGGGAGGCTGTCCTCGTCCTTTGCAGTTGCTGAAATCTGTTTTGAAATAAGTGCCTGGGCACAGGCGAAGAGTCTGTTCACCTCCCAGCTTTCGTTTTGGAGGATTTTTGCTTTTTAATTCTTCAGCTTTATCCTTTAAAGAAATACAGGGTTAAAGGAGAAAGCACTCTGGATGCACTCCCAAGCCTTCAATAACAATAGCACTTTTCTTCAGAGCACGGTTTTGGTCCAGATGCTTCCAGGAAAACAGAACCAGGCCCAGCCTGGCTGACAAATCTCAGCAGGAGTCGGAGAAGGCTGGTGAAGCCAGGACCAACTCGGAGGAGGAAGTGCCCACCCCTTAGATTTTCATTTGAAACAAACTCAAGGTAGAAATGGGAGAGATCAGAACACCGGAAGCCTTTGAACTCTCTCCACCTGTGCCATATGGTATTTAATTTGCCAAACACCAATAAGTAACCCTAACCCTCAAGACTGCATGGAAGGTTCTGCAAAATCAATCAACACTAATGTGTATCCCAAATAACTTTGGTTTAGCCAATAAGAAGCTGAAGTGGTCCAGGCAGGTATCACAGCTCCATAGACTCCAGGTTCTGCTTTTCTGGGGGGTCCAATCACTCGGAGCCAATCACTCGGAGCCAATCGCTCGGAGCCTGGCTTCTGCCTCCACGACTACCTCACAATCTAAGATGGCTGCTGGGCTTCAGCCATCTTGTTCACGTCCTTAGCAGAGGACAAGGGAAAAACAAAAAGGATTCCCTGTACATACATGTTGTCCACAGAAATTTCTCACAAGCCACACATAACATTTTGAATTTCACTGAAGGGAGGTGAAGTCCTTGTCTCACAGCCAGTAAGGGGAGACCAGGGAAAAACATTGCACACCCTCAAATAACCAGGCTGCGGCAACTGAGGAGGGAGAACAGACAGTAGATATATAATATTCTGTCTTTACCACAGAATACAGAGTAAGTTTAAGAGCTGGTAGTAGAATAGGAATGTAGGGATGGGAGCTTTTCAGAGGCAAAAGAAAACTTTGTCGAGTTGAAGATATTTTGAAC